GGAGAGAGGAGAGAGGAGAGAGGAGAGAGGAGAGAAATGGACAGAAAAGTAAATTTTCCCAGGATCTGGCCTGAGAGATGGGAAGTAATGCTAGAAGGTGCTCCCCAAATGTCAACCTGATGTTGACAGGGACCTATCAAAGAAGAATCACTTCCTACATCAGTGATCTAAGTGCCTGCTTATAGGTCACCAATGAGGCTCCCAAGCAGCCACAGAGCTGGACTCGGCATGTGACCTTGGATGCGAATTTTAAAAATTGGTTTTTAATTTTAGTTGTGTGTGTGTGTGTGTGTGTGTGTATGTGTGTGTGTGTGTGTGTCCCCACAGAAGCCAGGGGCTCCAGATCCCCCTGGGGCTGGAGTTAGACAGGTGTAAGTCACTCACCATGTAACTCAGGTTCTCTGCAAGAGCAGTGTGTGCTCTGAACCACTAAGCCAAATCTCTAGTCCTGCATGTGAGTTTTTAAAATATTTCTACACTTGTGCAAAATAAAATATTTGCACACCACACACACACACACACACACACACACACACACACACACACACACGCATGAGCCCTTGCGTTCGTGCACCATGGCACTCATGGAGGACAGAGGACAACTTATGGGAATCAGTTCTCTTTATCACGTGGGTCCTGCAGATCAAACTCAGGTCACCAGGGTTGGCAGCAAGCGCCCTGGCATCTGGACATGAACTGTAAACGCTTTTTGTAAGAAAATGTCCAAACACAAGACTTGGGCATAAGGGTGGAACAGCTCCCCAGCCAACATACAGCACCCACTGAGTCCCTGATGGCCGGTGTATTGGAGGTCACCATAGGTGTGTCCAAACCCCGGTCCCACCCACGTGGAGAGGCAAAGCCTCAAGGCCACCACCACGTGTCGTTCACGCCTTGTTGACAGTCGCCTCCCTCCACTCTCAGCCTTCCAGGATATCTTCAAACTGTTCAGCTGCAGCCCCACGGGCACCGTGGACATGCATAGCATGAAGGTTGCCCTGCGCAATGTGGGTATCCAGCTGGGTCCACAGGAGATGTGCGAGGCTCTTCGGCTGGCCGACTTAGATGGTGGGTGCCCCATCTCTGACTTCGCGTTCTCCCACCGCCAGGCAACCTCCTAATGAATGCTACCCATACCTACCATATCCTTGGCCTCGTCCTGTTTTTTCTAAAGTTCCCTCTTCCAGGAAGCAACCTAGCTCCCTGCCTTTTTATACATGGCTACTGCGTCAATCCTCATCCCTCAGGCAAGAGCTGTTTCTCTCCACACTCACACTAGAACCCCCTGGCTTCTACAGAAGTCATGTTAGTACTTTATAGTGAAATCTATTTTAAAGAGATAAATGAGCCGGGCGGTGGTGGCACACACCTTTAATCCCAGCACTCGCGAGGGTAGAGTTCCAGGAAAGGTGCAAAGCTACACAGAGAAACCTTGTCTCGAAAAACCAAAGAGAGAGAGAGAGAGAGAGAGAGAGAGAGAGAGAGAGAGAGAGAAGAGAGAGAGAGAGAAACGGTGTAGGGAAGGGTTATGATGTTGGAGAACATCCCAAGTAATTCTCAATGTATATTTAAACCCCTAACATATCTACAGGACAAACTTCCCAAAAGGGCAGGTGCCCACTGATCCGTCTGTCTTCCCAGGTGATGGAATCGTCAGCTTCAAGGACTTCCTGGGTGTCCTCACTGACAATCACCGCCTAGCTCAATGCATGGGTGAGGGTATAGCGGATGGGCAGTGGGGGCGGGGGGTGCTGAATGAGGACACCCCTCCTCACTCTTGCCTGTGTTTGCTGTACTCAGGCCAAATGAAGAGCAGTCGGGTCTGTGAGCCCCCGGGCCTGCAGACCCTGTTCCTCGAGATGCTGTTCAAGCTACTGCGGCAGGGCTTTGTGCCCTCCAAATCAGGACAGGAGGTGACTAGGTGAGCACACCCATCCCCAGCTCCCCAGACTCAAGATTCTGAGAACTGAGCCAGGCCTGGCAGAGAGTCCCATGATGTCCCGTCCCCGTCCGTCGTCCCCCCCCC